ACTCGTAAATACGATCTATCCGACGTGACTTGAATGCACCATAAGTAGCACTGAATAAAGTACAAGATACAAGTAAAAAAGCTCAAAACAGGTGCAAAAATACACCCTGGTTTGGGTACTTGTAAAGCACAACCATGATTTCAACAGACACTACAGGGTTATTGAGCAAGCAGCACTAGATACTTGGATTACTTGGATAAATAATGTGTCTGGAGGGAAACTAGTTCCAAGAAACAATAAATTAAAGGAATCTTTGAACTCTTTGAACAGCAACCTTTGACCATTCTTAAGCTCCTTGGCATGTTAAAGGACACAGTTTATGCGACTCCAATAGATAGCGTTCTTCCGGTGTATACAAAGCACAAAGGGTAAAAGAGGAAACCCACGACCACTAGTGTAGACTAGAGGTTGACTGATTGATTGGCCAGCCGATTAATCGCCGATTTTTTGTATTTTTAAATTAATCGGCATCGGCTGATTGTGCTGCATATTAGGCCGATTTATAGGCAGGCTCATCTGCGGGCAGCTAAGTATTAGAAGGAAAATACTGAACCATTGCATTCATATTCCGGTGTAGTCCGGCCTCATCTGCTTGCCTATGTAAACTATGCATAATAAATATAGAGAATATTACTGTTTCAAATATATTAAGGCACTTTAAGTGTTTTAACAACGTTTTGTCGCACTGTTTAATGATTGAAATATTGCCGGGTGTGCTTAATATGAATTGCAAATGGCCAAACCTTGCATTTTGTTCACATACCTTTGTTTTATTCTTTTTAGAGGTGATCTAAATATATGCGGCTGTGAAACAGATGGAAAATTGACAGGTTTGTCCTGCAGTTCTATGGATGTTTTGCCCTCCAGATCTTCGAGCCGGTCACGTGACTGAAAGCTATTGCTGCGTTCAAGTCCTCCTGGGACGTTCGTAAGAGTTGACAAGTCGTAATTACGACGTCAGGTGCGTTCAAGTCAGTTTAGCACAAGATGGCGGTGTACCTTCTTTTAATAAATTACAAGAAAATACAACAAGGGTCTGTTAACTCTGCTTATAGAAAATGAAGAGCAAAGAATTCGCATCAGGTGTGTTTTGCGTTTTTAATCTTTTTAAAAAGTAATTTATGAGGCCACTTTAATCTGTATCGCGTAAAAACTTGTTATTAATTGTTATATTACAATCCTGCCACATTCAAAAAGCTTATTTTTTTGGTAAATAAAAAGCCTGACAATGTCACTGCTTAATACCTATAAGTATTGTGATTTATGTTTTACTTTGGCAATCTCTCTGTCTCCCTCTGTCAGACATGCAGTTCTACAGTACTTGTCACTGACAACCCACTAAACTATCAATTTAAACAAAAATTTACCGTCAACTACAGACGTTGCATCCATCGATTCCGCCATGTTTCTCATTGACACGCCCACAACTCGGAAACTCGGTGCTTAAAGAAAATTTCGAGTTTCCCACTCGTAATAACGACTTTGTGGTGGCGTTCATGTGCATTCAACTCGTAAATACGATCTATCCGACATGACTTGAACGCACCATGTGAATTGGTTGTCGCTCGCGAAATTCGCTTTTCATTTGCATAAAGTTAAACAATTCTTAACTTTTGTCGCTTGACACGCCCACATTCTGTCGCCAACGGTCACTGTCGCTCGTGTCGCCGGAAGTCGCCAGCTCTCCGTTGAAAATGAATGGGAGCATGTCGTTTTGTCGCTGTGTGTGATGGGAAGTTAGGCTCTTTTCAAAGATTCGGCACTTTTGGCTCGGCTCCCTTAGAAGAGCCGGCTCTTACGGCTCCCAAATGGCTCTTTATTTAGTATCACACACCTTCTATTTTAGCCTAATTTAGCAATTGTGAATGGTTTGTGTGTTGGTAAGCAAATTTTTATTCAGTGTTTTCATAAAAGCCTTATTTTTATGATTTTTTTTTTCTCGTTACAAATGGAAAGGCTTATTGAGATCCAGGTTGAGAAAATTATGTTTTGCTCTCAGTTTCTCCCCTCTGGTGAGAATCGATTCAGCAGTGGCTGAAGCCTCATCCTCAGTGGCGTGTCCACACAGCTGGACTGAATTAGATGTTAGTGGGCAAATGTTTCCCATGTGTTCCTCAGTCACAGGCGTATGGCTTCATCTCACAAGCATGGAAATTGTAGCTAACGGTAAAGACTTTAAAAAATAGGACTGTCATTCTGCAGACCTTGCATATCCAACGCTTTAGATTCCTGCAAAGAGTCTCCACATCAGTTATCATGGTAAATCCTACGGAGGATTTGAGTTGTACGGTTTGATAGTGTCTAGGCTGTGTGCTTAGGCTATAAAGTATACATTTAATTGAGTTAAGCACTTGCTTTTGAAGTTGAAAACAGACTAAGACGGCTATTGTTACAGAATTCACAATTAAAGTACTGGTTTCCATTTCCAGCATGCTTACTGTATGTGCCCATGTTTGTATGTGGTTGTGTGTGGGGGTCTATGTGTGAGTCCTAAAAGCAAAAGTCTATAAGACATAAACCTCTTAGCTGGCGTCTGCAAAATATGTATATTGATTGAGCACAAAATCTCATAATAATTTCTAATTTAATCATACCTTTCTCTTTCTGCCTCTCTCTCACACATACACATACAGTACACATGCACAAGCTTATTTGCCCTTGAAGGAATAACCGAAGAAAATAAACGAAGCTTTTATTGGCCACTCTCAATCATCTGAAAGAGCAGCGTGCAGCTTGGGTTACACGTGTCCAGATTATTTCCTAAATCGGATCCTTAATATGCTGTTTTTCTTCCTTCAAAGGTGAATTGTGGTGACCTGGTGAAGAGCTTATAAATGAGGTCGATAACTTTAAAATGGGACCACTTTGTATTAGAAGCTCCCTATTAATGTGATAGGCTGTGAATCATTGCCTAAAATTTGTAGTGTGACAGAAATTACTGTCATGCTTCTCAAACAAATAGAAGTCAGCATTGTCCACATAAGAATGACATGCAGGGTTAATTACAGGCCTGTTTTGATACAATAGACAGAGCATTAACAATGCTACAAGTTTTTACATGTAGCATTAATTATTTTAGCCCACTAGACAGACACAACTATCTACTGCCAGTCATGTTGTTGTCTTTTGTAATGTGCTATAATTGTAGCTGAGAGAGGGAGGAGAATCCATACTACAGTTACAGTTTTATATAGGCAAATTGGGTGGCAGCTTGCAGGTGGACACTGGAAAATTCCTCTCGTAACTAATAGTATAGACAGATATTTGGTTCCAAACACCATATGGCACAGTTAAAGACAAAAAACATGCATGAGCCATCTGAACAGTGTGCTCTCGTGCCACTTAAGAAACATATAGTTGATTCCTCAGACCAATATGCCCGGATATGTATATGAAGGTGTTTGAGAGAGGCTTTGTAAATCTGCAGTGTCTATTTTTATTCCTGTGGTTATGGTGCACGTGTTCCCTGAGGTTCTTTATGGAGCATGATGAATGAGGTGCTATTCACAGTTTGAGGCCTGACTCGTTCACTTGCCAATATAGAAACTTAGTAGCCCACTTGCTGACATTCACATTGCAGGGCTGTGATGGCAAAGCAGGTGTTGTGTTTTCATATTTTTTATTTTTGATGTTTGTTTTTTAGTTTAATGTCACATATCTGCTAGAGTTGATGTTTGATGCCACAATGCAGCGTTACGCAACACTGTCCTCTTCTGGACAACTGTGCATAGCACTACCAGTTTTGTGTTTCGTTGATGCTGAAATAAAATATAAATATTAAATGAAAAACTTCAACTTTAAAAACTGAAATGTTGCTTGGCAACTAACTGAAATAAATAAGTTGAAGTTGAAGTACTAAAATAAATAAATAGAATACTGAAATGAGCATAAATGAGCGAATTCTATATTTCTACTCTATACTCGCATATATAGATACACATAGTCTATATTTCTATTTTTTCATAGTCTATATTCCTACTACTGCAGCATAGTTTTTATTATTATGTTTCTTACATTGTGTATGTATGTGTGTATAGTTTGTGTATGTGTGTGTATAGTTTTGCACTGTTTTGGCATTCATTGTGGACAGCAAAGTAAGAATTTAATTGCTCAGGGAAACTTGTTTTCCTCACTGGGCATATGACAATAAACGCTTTGAATTTGAATTGAATTTGAATTTGAAATATTTATAAACAAAAACGAATGACATTAAAATGACAAAAGCACATAACAAAATTACTAAAATATAAACTAAAATTAAAATGAAAGCTAAAAAATAAAAGCTAATTCAAAAAATTATTAAAAAGTGGTCACACAAATTGAAAACACTTATATTTAGCAGTTCAAAATAATAGTGCCATTCCTCCTCATCACCCCAATTTCAATCCGTTTTTGAATCATTGTTGTTTCTCATGCATCATTGATCGCAAATCAAATTATATGATGTGTAAAATGTTACTTACTTCAAACTATATTAGCTATAATAATATATTAGTAAATAATGTATTAGATAATATAATAGTTATTATAGGCTACTTCAGATTCAGATATTAGATTCAGTTGCTGACATTCACATTGCAGGGCTTGAGGCAAAGCAGGTGCTATGTTTTAGTATTTTCTTCATGCAATGAAGCCTCATATTAGTTTTTGATTGACAGCATTTAAACTAGTAGTTGTGTAGGCCACAGTATCTGGAAAACCTGCTGCAGTCTAGCCCTGATAGTGATTCATTCAAAATGAATGGATTCCCGTCTGTTGGTAAGGGAAGTACAGAGTCAGGTGTGTCTAATCATCGGCTTGGTTTTGTTATGCTAGCATTGTCTGCATAGTTTCTATATGCTAGATGACGGCACAAACACGGAATGAGGCATGTACTCATGAAAGCCTGACGCTGTATTTCACACAGCTCAACAGAGAGAGACAGAGAGGTGTACGATTTCCTGCAAAGGACGTTAGCTCAGCTCTCAGCTGTGGTTTGCTGTTTTAGTTTTTATACTAAATGGATTATGTCACGCAAAGGCTTTCTTCATATTTCTAAATTTCTTTGAACATATTGTTTTGTTCTTTATTATGAGTTCGTGTTAACTGAAAAAAACACGTTTACTATATGACTGTTTTGTTTTGATTTATTGCATAGTAGGTTTGTTGCATCGAATATTAAATATTGGAGCCACATTATGAAATTCAACGGATATATGAGGCTGCGTATCGGGGAGGCGGTGGATTTAAAACCAACAACTTTTTCAACTCGTCACACCTTTCATAAGAAAATCGTCCTGGATCCTTATATCGTTGTTAAAGTTGATAATGTGAAAGTTGCACAGACCGCCACAAAATCGAAGACCAACAAACCGACCTTCAGTGATGAATTCTGCCCGTACATCTCAAATGGCAAGGAGCTGGAACTGGCTGTTTTCCATAACACTCCTATAGGATACGACGATTTTGTCGCCAATTACAGAATCCAGCTTGATGAATTGATAACGTCGTCAAACACAAGACAAACGTTTGAAGGATGGGTGAGTTTCTACTGTGTATAACAGGAATTGTGCCTTAATACACACAGGACCGGTTGCATTGACTGCTTAGACTAGTAAAATGTCTTCTATTTTTTTGTTCTTCAGGATTGATCATAACTTTTTTAATTCACATGCAAAAAAATGTAGATTGGTCTAATTTGAATCTGAAAAGTGAGATTGATTATCCCTTGGCTAACTGTTAGTTGGTCAAACTATAGTTTGTAAGAGACAGCCTTAAAGGGATCGTTCACCCATAAATGACAATTCTGCTAAACAGTTGATGGTAGCCATTGACTTCCATAGTATGGAAAAAAATACTATGGCAGTCAGCGGCTACCGTCAACTGTCAGGTTACCAACATTCTTCAAAATATCTTCTTTTGTGTTCAACAGAAGAATGAAACTCATACATGATTGGGACAACTTGAGGTTGAGTAAATGATGACAGTATTTTCATTTTTTGGGCAAACTATCCCTTTAACATAGTGGCTATGTTTATGCAGATGTCCCATATAGAGAGGGGTTTTACAATAATTATAGTTATCGCGACTCGCGAGGTTATCTGACGTTTTTAACTTATTGAAATGTTGTGGAACTTTTTTTGTTACTTGAGTGTGAATATAAATAAAAATGTAAAAATAAAATAAATAATTTAAAAATAATAATAAAAAAGAAGAAGAATCGGCCTACGTTCTTGGAAACCCCACAACCACCCCCACCCCCAATTTCGCACCCTTTACTTTTGATATAAATACTTTAATGTATATTTACATACAAAATGCAATGAAATACAAACTAAGAAAGATATGAAAACCATTGGCCTCTTTTTTGCAGTTTTAATCTTTGCTGTCTACAGGCCTATCAGTGTTCTTGTAAAAGGGTCCTGTCGCTTTCATTTGTGCAATAACTAGGTCGTGCTCAAAACCACATGTTGCACCCCACCATGCATCACGGAAGCTTTCAGGGCGTTGCATTATCTTGCATCTATATGGTAACTGGGGATGTGTGGTTTGATGTAGGCCTACTTGTGTTCTGCTTTTGCTTTAGTCCAAGCGCTAAAATCTGGTCAAATCAGTCCTTGTGAAATTCTTGAAAAAGAAATTCTCGAAAGTCTTGAATCATCTGATGGTGAGGGTGTTTAAGGTTATTATGTTTCATGCTAAAACATGTTTAAAAATTATACATGAAAAATTTTCAAGGTTACAGGTATTTGACACTGAACATAATAGCATTATTTTTAGTATTTGCTTTAGGCCTCATTTGGATGGTAGAGTTTTAGAATATTCCTCATGGTCACAGTTTCCCACCCTAACAATCACAACATTATAGCTTACAGTAAATGCGCTGGTTATTTTGCAAATGTGGTTCTCACTCTGTTTGTGGGGGATGTGTTTGCAAACTCACGTACCACCAATGCAGACATGCTGCTTAACCAAACTAGCTGGATTCCTCTCTCTGCCCCTTAGAACCTCTCCTGTGTTTTACCTCTTACGTTCCCCACATGTACACCTTGCAATGGTGATCAGCAGAACTTAAATGGACATTTTGTAATGATATCCACCTGGTTGTGTGGTCTGAAGTGTAATTTTAAAGCCAGCTGCCAAACATATCTGACATACAAACATACAAGACTTCACAGCTGAGAGTTACTCAAGGAAATACTAGTTATCCTTGCATCTCTCAAGTGCGGTTTACTGGCAACCTATTTATTGTGTTTTATATAATAATAATAATTTAAAAAAAAGTGTCCTATCAAATGCTTGGTTGGTCTTTTTATATTTTCTGCTGTTTAAATACTATTCAAGTGGTTGGTTCAATACTTACAATACAAAACCTTCCAGTCCCTTAAGCGCTTGTTGTGTTTGGTGGTGCGTGCTGTGAACTTGACTCCCTGAACCAGCTTGTCCTGCTTTCCTGGTCTTGCCTCGTGTTACAGGAATTCCTCCCACATGGCAGGGCAAGCTAAATGATAATAAGTGAGAGAATGACTTAGATGGCAAGATAGAATGACTGTGACTGTAATAGAAGGTCAGTGTGACTAGCTAGAGATACAACTCTGATAATATACTGCAGTTTAATTGTTGTATTATACAGTGTTGTAATTTATTATACAATAAATCAAACAAGCTTTCACTTAGTAATAAGAGCTCACAGCATTTTTCTTTCATGCTAAGTGGTAACCACATCACACAGTAGCCACGTCCTTCACTCTAAAAGCATTTCCATTTACCTAAATGTGTCACCTTTAACATCAGGGTCAGCTTAGTGAAAAAATTTGGGGCTTTTTTAAAATGATTTTTAAATATTTAAGTGTGCAGGCTAACACAATATTTTTTACAGCTGATATAATCACATTGTGAACTAAATAAAAGTATTTTAAAATGTTTAGGATTTTAAATATAATTTTGTTTAGTTTGTTTTTGCAGGAGATAAAGTATGTCCTCCATATATCAGGCCTGCAAAATATCGGGCACAAATGTTAGGAAGCTTTTGTTAAAAGTGATATTTTATCAGCACTTACAGTAGTATTTAGTGAGCTTTTAAAGTCTAATCTCACTGAGTATCTCCTCTTCCAGGTGAATCTGGAACCAGAGGGAAGTGTCTATATCACCATCTCTCTCACCGGCTCCTTTACAGATGGTTAGCTGTTTTCGATAACTAGATATTTTATTTTATTTTTTTTTATTATGACTATTTATTTTAATTATTATTATATACAAATCAATTATGTTATGTGTACTTAGTTATTTAATTTTAATATAATTATGCTGATTGTGTGTTTGTGAAGATTTACTAATTATTAGTTAGAACATTTACAGTAGACAGTTAAGCTATAAATTAAACCTGGTGTGCCATGATAGAATAGAATGATGATAGAAATGTTTTGTTCACAATTGTTGGTCTCTTAAACAAAGATTTTGTTGTATTTTTGTCTTTCAACATAATATACAAGCTCTCTTTTAAGTTTTATTCTGTTTTTAAAAATTGTAAGGATCATAACAATTAAACTAGCACTTACCCACAACACTTTAACTTTATGCTTAATTTTGTCAGCAATTTAATTGTACTTACTGAGTGTTGCCATCAAATTCAGATGAAGCTGTGAATGGACTGAGACCCCATAAAATGTTTACAAGAGAAAGGCAAAAAGCTTTGAAGAAAAGAAAGGTCCACCAAGTCTGTGGACATAAGTTTATGGCAACCTTCCTTCCCCAGCCTACTTTTTGCTGCCATTGCAAAAACTTCATCTGGTGAGACTTGCACAGAAATAATGCACACCTTCATGCACATAAAACAATCAACAAATCAGACCCACTTAATACATGTTATGCCAAGTGGTTATAAATATATCATCATTCCCCAGGGGTGTTTTTGGAAAGCAAGGTTATCAGTGTCAAGGTGAGTATGTTTACTATTAGTGGAATTTTCCCATATGCTTTAACATACTGCATGCACAAGGATTAATAACATTGACTTTTATGCCTCATTATTCTAGTGTGTGCATGTGTGGTTCATAAGAGGTGTCATGATTTGGTTGTCACTGAGTGTACACGTATGAAGAAAGATTCAAATGAGGTAAGAGTGTGCGTATGTAAATGCATATGTGATGACAAAATTGTGTCTTGTGGATCAATTTCCCACATACATATTATTTTGTGTACAGGGCCAAAGACAGGGCTTTGGCATCAACCTACCCCACCAGTTTAGAGAGCACAACTACAAAGTTCCCACATACTGTAACCACTGTGGATCTTTACTTTATGGCCTGATAAAACAGGGTCTCCAATGCAAGAGTAAGCACATATTTACTCGACTTGAAATACATTGAAATACATTAGATGCAAGATTGCTGTTGTCATCTGTGTGGCATGGATTTATCCAGGTTGCAAGATGAACATTCACAAACGCTGCGAAGAGAATGTTGCACTTAACTGTGGGGTGAACAGTGCTGAGTTGGCCAGCAAATTGTCAGAGATTGGAATGCTCAACACGCTTTCCAAACGAAAGTCTCAGGTAATGTCATAAGAACTGTCTCAAAAACCTTCTTTTATCAGGGAATATTTGTTTTTGTTAAATGCAATGCACATTTATTTTGTGAGATATTTCTCCACATTTGCGTTTGGTTAAATATTGGTGTATTTTTTCAGAGTTCTCTGCACATGACAGGAATAAGAGGTCAGAACTCCATTAAAAGCGTACAGACAACGTTTGAGGAGCCAGTGGAAGAGACTGTTAAAATTGTTCTGGAAGACTTCAGTTTTTTGCAGGTGTTGGGAAAAGGCAGCTTTGGCAAGGTGAGAGACACAACCCACG